TTTGAATGGGCTAGCTTGTTTCTTCTGTTCGGCCTGCCACGCTGTGACCAGATTACCGCCAGCTCCTGCCCCAGAAGAGGGTTTTTCTCCAGAGGTGGCAATCCCCCCCGTATCATTCTTTGATTGGGTACCAGTGGAAAGAAAATCAGATTTTCTTCATTGCCTCATTGAAGGAGTTAGAGCGTTCTTAGGGGAGGACTCTTCGTCGACCTAATGCTGGTTCTGAAATGTTAGATGATCCACCTTTGTGGTGTGGAGCTCTACCTTAAATAACTTCTTTGCTCTTCCTGAATAAAAATCATCACATTAGTTTACTAATTTAGAAGGAGAATAAAGGGGATTAAAAAGGATGCATCCAGTGAATTCATTATGTTGTTTCAGAGAAGATGTTTACCTTACAGGCATTTTTTCTTACCCAGAGTATAATCCTCCTGTTTACCTAATATGTGTATGCTGGCATGCCTCTCTCCCACACACCACAGGGGCGTGTTTGCTTTGGTATGAGCCTCGCAGTCTAACGTTGGGTAGTGGAGCTGCTGTCTATGATAAAGCAGGCAGACTTGGTCCCTGTGGGTCCAGTAACATATGCAATCCTCTCCCCGTTGCTGCAATAACATATGCAAAACAGTGCTGCTGGCCCCGACCCCTCTGCTCCCACCAGATCCCTCACCCTCTCTTCATACACGCTCACACAAGCCTGTTTGCTCCTCGGATTGTGTTTGATAACTGTGTGTGTGTGTTCCTTCAGATTGTAGTTTGTAACAGTCTAAGCTTTGTGTTGGCCGAAGGATTATCACAGCTTTGCCACCAGCAGCCAAGGCAAGGAGCAGGAGTAAAGCGGGGCTTAGTCAGACGCGACGTATGTGAAGGGACAACTGTGGGAAAATGCATTTGTGTGTGTGAGAGAGGGATGGAGGGAGCGCGTGTGTGTGTTTCCGTGCGCTCACATGATATCGAACCGAGCTCGTTACGGTTAACTGATCCAAGCTCGGTCCAAACTCGGCACGGATCGGTTTTTAGACGGTAGTGTAAATGGGGCTTTAGTTTATTTGCTCTTTTAGTTTATTTGTAGTTTCCTTTTCACTTGTGAGGATTTAGAAGTTAAATGGGAGAGTAATATTGGACAAAGCTATGATGCATCTCTGCTTCAGCTGACCTAAATCATAACATAAGTCCATTAGAAGAACTCTGGGGATGCTGAGGAGGTAGAGACGCATCTTAAAGTTGTTTGACGGCAGAGCTTGAGAAATAGACGCTTAAGTTTTTTAAAACACTAAAAAAAAAAGAATTACTTTTTCAATATACTACCCTACTTTCTCAGCACTTGAAACCTCTGCAGGAGAGTCTAGGAACTAGTGATGCCAATAACGCTGTGTTTCCGTTTTAACCACAGAACAAAGACTTTGATTTCTTTAGATCATCAAAGACTTAGACGGATGAGCAGAGTCTGTTAGTTATCTGTTAATTGAATTATATGATGGGAGGGCACTAATTAGGCTTCTCCTAATTTATACGTTTCTTAGTTTTTTTTTAGGTCTAATCTGCCTTTCTTATCATGATCGCTCATATATTTATTTTTTAACACATAAATGATAAAAGAAACACTTCATGTTGTTAAAGAGAACTGGATCATGATGGAAGTATCCGTCCCCCATAGTTAATTAATTTTATTAAATTTGGTAAGTTGCATTTAAGAATTTATGTTTATAAAAGACAGTTGGAGTCTTAGTTTAAATTTAAGGAACAATTGGGAATCTGGATCCCAGCTGGTTTGATCCAGATGTTAGATGAATGGAGAAATCAATGTAACACAAAAATATAGGACTCAGGCTTGTATAATGGATTACTATCTTTAGGCATCCATGCTGGTAAACAGTTTCCTGTAGAATTATTTGTTTATTATCTACATTTTGGTCACACCAATAATGAAAAACTCACCAAACTAAAGATTGTTTCCCCGTTAATGAGGGTGGAAGATATGCATTCTTTAAATTTCCTAAAAATATAAGGAGAAACATTGAAGATTAACTCGGCTCAACTCTGATCATAATGCGAAAATGATCATATATTTTCATGTCAGGGAAAAAAATAAACTTTTTTTGGGCGTATTTGGGTAAAAAAAACAAAACATTAAACTGTAATATAGTTTTAGTTCCTGTTGTATTTGATGATGAAAATTCTGTTTCTAAAATCCAGTTAAGACACTATTCTCAAAATGTGTTTCTATTCATATTTAAAGGACACTGAGGGATTTGCACAAACCAGCTAGAAACACACTGAAATTTTTGCAAAAAAGGGCTTAATTTATTTCAAAAAAGTAAAAAAAAAAAATGTTACTGGGCCCAAAAACAGAGGTCAACAAAACAGACTTCAATTCAGGTACTAACATAAAGAACTCGAGCACAAACTGACCTATCCAACAAGACATGAGGGAAACTTAAATAGTGGCTGATCAGACCACTGTTGACACACAAGTAGAGATAACTGACTGAAAAACTAACAAAAAAAGAAACTTAATTAAACAGATGAATACTGGCCAGGTGTGACCCGCTGATTAGCCAGCAATGACCAATTGAGAGGAAAGCTGGAGCTCATTGCAGCCCTCCAGCAGCAGATCCAAAGGAAACCGGTGACTCAAAGAAAAAGAAATCAATCAATTGCATTTTAACAAACGTCTAACAACTTGGCAAATAAAGTTAACTAAATCTGTGCTCTGCAAAAAGCTATCTTAAAGTCAGGCTAATGAAAATATTTGAAATGTGCAACTAATTTTGAAAATGAAAAATATAAAAGTTACCACACAGCTTTAGTGTGACAGCAAGCTGTCACTATACTAATAAGCTGTACTGACACAATTATAAACAAATGTAAATAAATACATACATACATACATACATACATACATACATAATTAAATGATTGAGTGGATTAGTTTAGAGTTGTATTTGTTTCTTATATATTTTCGCTGAGGTTAGAGCTCACCTTCTCTTCTGCTGAAAGACACTGTTGATTTGTAGTTTGAAAATTCTTGAGGCCTTTTAAGATTGTCCAAAACATTCAGAAACTTTAAACCAAAATCTTATGTTTTCACTTTTTTTTTTTGTATGTGTGTAACCAGCCATTTATTTATCAGTTGCAAACCTGTTTTCAAATGACTCGTACATCCGCTCTAATAATCCCTCAGTCTCTCAGTCTGAGAGAAGTGTATTAATAAGTGTTGCTACAAGGAGAGAGGCTTATAAAGAGTTTATCCTTTAATTTGATTTTTCTTCGTCAACATATTTCAACTGATTTAATTCATCAAGTTTTGAAGCCTTACAGCAGCACTTCAGCATGGCTGTCTTGCTCTTTTGTTGGATCTAAAGCAATACCAGATATTTATACATTTACAAAAGAGACATTTTTTTTTTGTCTCGTCCAAGATAAAATCCGGCTGAAACTTTCTCGTTTAAGATAAGTTAGGTCAAGCAAAGTCAGGATTCTTGTATCCCTATGGAAATGGCTCTATACTTGAGCTCATTTTCTATTTGGAAGATCCTGTTGTGGCCACGCTTTAAACTCCTGCTAGATGTTTTAGGTGCTTCTTCAATGTTTAAACGTTTATCCCTCCTGCAGCTAAACCCTTCCCCAGCATGATGCTGCCTCCCTCGTAGTTTCAAGTTGGAATGTTGATCTCAGGCTAAGTTCACCTTAGATTATTGTCTCTAGAAAATGAGGCTCTTTTACTTATTGTAACCTGGCGATCTGCTGTGGCTTTAGAGCAATGGCTTCTTCCTTCCTGAGGAACCTTTCATGATGTGGGTGTGGGGCTATTGGGGCACTGGGCCGACATATTTCAGGTCTACGTGGTCCTCCCGTTGATTTAATATCAGGTTGTGAAAGACAGCGACCCACAGACACACATTCAAAGAAAGCTTTTAACACCACTATCACAGGTTGGTGGGAGAAAATGAGGGGATTTAATTTCTTCTTTCTCTCTCTCCTGTGCTTTGCTTCATTCAGTCTATGTGCTGGATCAGACTGTGGCGATAACGCAAGCCCAAGGTCAGGGAGGAAGAGACCTACAGCCAATTTACATGAGAGATGAATGGGAAGAGGGGGTGGAGGTCGGGGAGGGGGCTCGAGACCGGGACTTTGATCTCCTTAGGGTGCACATGCCAGCGTTAATGTGTGTGTGTGTGCGCGCTCGGTTGTGAGAGGTCTGTGATCTCATGGCCTTTGTGATGGAGATGGACCCGGCAGGGCCGACCCGATAATGACGCGACGCTCTAATAGCATTCATCCCTTCTACCGCAAAACTACTCAAGCGGAAAAGAGAGGGAGAGAGGGGAGAACAAGGGGAGGAAAAAAAACAAATGTGAGGGGTAGATGTTGGTTTGCAGGGGTGTGTACGGATAGACGGAGAGGGCAGGTGGGAGGGGGAGCTAAGCTATGTTTAAGAAATGACGTGGGGCACGAATCATTTGTAATCTCAGAATCAGGGTGAGGGAGAGAGGAGGGGGACCATAGGTGATGGTGTGTGCAGCTTTGGATTTGTGTTTCAGAAAATGGCATTGGTGTGTGTGAGCCAGAGTGTGTGTGTGTGTGTGTGTGTGTGTGTGTGTGTGTGAGACATTAGCAGTAAATGCACTCTGCCTGTGTCGCCTTTCTCTCTCTTTATCAGTGTATATTTGCTGTGGGCACTGGAGCATGGAAGGCTTTCAGAACCCTGGCCCATAGGGGACCAGACCCTGTGTCCAACACACACACACACTTTTACTTATCGTACAGGGTCATTACAGGCTTCTAACTATACCCTGGTAATCAGCAGTTCATATCAGCGACCATATTCATCCGTCCCCAACAATGGAGAGCATGGGAATGATGGCAGAGACGAGGAGGACTGCTAGAGAAACGGAGGGCTAAGCCTCGGTTTCATTGTGTTCCGTCTGTAGACCAAACCTGAATTTGATGGTTTTATGTTTATTAGCTGGTTTGATGTACCTTCTTTCTCTCCTCAGACTAAGAGAGGTCCTCCTGTGAAGCAACAGGAAGACGGCGGCGCTAAGTCTCCCGCATATTGCTACAACTGTTCCAAGAAAGGACACTTGGGTCATGTGAGTATCGTAGTCGGTCTTTGTCCATCCAGGTGACTCTTTTAAAAACCAGCAAAATTATCCAGCCCCCCTTTTTTTTTTGAAACAACCAAAAAGTTCAAGCAGCATTGGGTTCATTATTTAAAAACGGAAAGAGTACGGCCAAGCTGCAAACTGACTGGCTGGATCAGAAGGAATCAAAGTGACCGTCCAACGATAGAGGAAATCCAAAGAACGTTTAGAGTTCATATGATAGCTATCAGTGTTTTTATTTTTATTTTTCCACCCGCTGTGCAGTCTACAAATCACACTGAATGCGGTATTCTCCCTGAGGATCCTCGATGTGAGTCATCTTTACTTCAAGAGGACGGAGAAGGTGGTAAGAGGTGATGGGATCATTGCTGGTGTTAAATGAAAAGAAATCCTAGAAAGAAAATCTGAAAGATTGGAGTCTGAAGCAGAAAATCACCTCCCACTAGAATAATGAAACATACACTGGCTTCCATCTTCTTTAATCCATGGGATCAAGAATAAAAAGCAGGCATAAACATTTTTTTCAGTTCTGTTTAGTCATATAATGCCAATTCACAACACATCATCAATTATGGCAAGCCACTGGCAGCTGGTTTGGGAGATAATTTTGAATCCAAAAAAGTCCAACTGGTTTGTCTTTTAATTTTAAATGACCAAAATGTTTGACCAACTCTAGAGAGTAGGTCAACTTTATTAGTATATTGCTTTTCACAGACATGGTCACAAAGCACTTCACGGGGATAAATACCTAAGAATATAGAAAAGATAATGACATACTAAAGCATAAGAATAGAAAAAATAGCATATTTGAAAGAATTGATACAATCTATGGAGGAGAAAACGGACTGAAAACAAGAAGGTAGATTTTAGTTTGAAGTTTTACCGCAAAATCCCACATCCTCTGTAACTGCCCCGCCCCGCTTCCAGACCACCTGCCCAAAGCGGAGATGGAGGATGTGGAATCTGGGGGTAAATCAGTTCATAAGCAGAGGAGTTGGCAAATCATTCAGTATGGAAACTGTTACTAAGGTATTTCTGGTTGTCTGGCTCCAATGACCCATTACCCACCAACAGGGAAATCATTAAACTGCAGCTAACCTTTTTGGCCTTACTAAAGAATTACTCCAACACTGCATCGATTAGTCATTGAGGAGGTCACTGAAAAACCATCTACTGCCTCATGTTTCTGTAAAGATCTGCTTTCTGGAAGTTCAAAAGTTTTATCCCCTGTTCAAAGAAAAAAAAAAACTTCACCTGCATTCAAACATGGCGGTGGGAGTGTGATGGTCTGGGGCTTCATGGCTGCTTTAGCATCTGTTTAATTTACCACAATTTATGGAGGCATGATTTCTGCTCTCTACCAGGAAATCCTAAAGGACAAGGTTCAGCCATGAGTTCATGACCCTAAGCTCAAGTGCGTTTATTGTTAAGCAGGAAGACAATAAAATATCTCTAGAAATTTACCTCTGAATGACTAGAAAGAAACAAAAAAGAAGGTTTCAAAGTGAAATAGTCAAAGTCTGTATTCAAGAATGACCTTAAAAACTCCAGCTAGACTTAAAATCCTTTCAATGTGGCTAAATTTTAATTTGCACAGAATAGTGGACATCATATTTCCTACATTTGTTGGAATTTAACGGGTATTACAAACACTTGACGATCGTTTTCCTTCCACCGAAACAGGTCAGCAGGTTTTTAGGGAGGTAAACTTTTCATATTTTTTTTCTAGATAAACTGAAAAGAGATCTGAAATACTTTGAATGTTCATCTTAAACTAGCAGTCAGGGAATAAGTTCATTTACCTTTCTACATCTTCTAGTCGGAATTGGTTCTATGTAAAAAGCATATCTAGTGCTGTAGTTGTATTTTCATGTAAACATCCATTTTTGCACACTTTCCTCAGGAATGTAAACAACAGAGGATGTTCAGTGGGGTTTTTCCCAACTACCCCTTCATCAATCACTACGACACGTTGAAGGACATCAACCGCAGACAACACAGAATAGAGATGAAGGTTAAAGGTGAGTCAGGAAAGAAAAGCCAACAAGAAACGCTGCGCCTAATTTTTTGTTGATTGGTTGTTCAGTTGCTTGATAAATCTTTATGACAACTATTATTCAAGCAGGATGGAGCAACTGAAGAAGGAAATCTGAGTCATCTCTGTCTTTGGTCATCTCCTACGCTCTCTGTTCTTTTGCATCCCTGTTAAAGGATCCATTTATTTGTTTTAAATGGACAAAAGTTTTGGATCATTGTACTCTGAAAAGATTAGAAGAGGAAACTGCCTTTTCCTGATAGAGGACTTTTATTTAAACTTTCCTGGTTTTGTGTAATGCGTTCTAACAAGGCTCCCTTGGTCTTAGATGTAAAAGCACCTCATTAGAAAAGCATCCCATATTTACCCCAAATCTTTCTGTAGTATATATTGTTGAGAAGACCTAGACTTATTCCCATGAGAATGAGGGGTTCAAAAGTTTTTTGTTTTTTTTTCCTGGGGTTGCATGAAAACAACTATAAAAATAGGGATGTTTGTAACATTTCCAGCTTCTTTCAAACTACCTACCCATCATTATAGCTGTAGAAATGAACACACTGAAGTGGATAGCTTTAGTCTTGTCACTGTTTCCTAACCTGGAATAGTCTATTTACTTGTTCCAGAACATAATCAACATGGTATCATGTTTATGCCCCAGAGAAATCCAAAAAATGTTGTGGTTACATACAGTGAGGAAAATAATTATTTGAACACCCAGCTATTTTGCAAGTTCTCCCACTTAGAAATCATGGAGGGGTCTGAAATTGTCATCCTAGCTGCATGTCGACTGTGAGAGATATAATCTGAAGAAAATAAAATATCCATCAAGCAATATATATTCTTTAAGCTGCAAATAAGTATTTTTTTTTTTTATTTGTTTATTTGANTGAAATTGTCATCCTAGCTGCATGTCGACTGTGAGAGATATAATCTGAAGAAAATAAAATATCCATCAAGCAATATATATTCTTTAAGCTGCAAATAAGTATTTTTTTTTTTTATTTGTTTATTTGACAGGGACAGTACAATTAAACATTGCAACCAAACGGGTGGCCGATGTCCAAGTACATAAGGCTTGTAGCCATGGGCTAATTTGCAGCATTTGAACACCTGTCTATCAGCTAGAATTCTGACCCTCGAAGGCCTGTTAGTCTGCATTCAAAATGTCCACCTCCACTCCATTTATAATCCTAAATTAGGTGCATCTGTTTGAGGTTGTAAGCTTCATAAATGTACCTTTACATCCTATAAAATCAGTAATAATTCAACTACTAACATAGCCAAGACCAAAGAGCTATCCAAAGACACTAGATACAAAATTGAACACCTCCACAAGGCCTGAAAGGGCTACAGGAAAACTGCCAAGGAGCTGTTGGAGCAATCATCAGAAAATGGAAGAAGTTAAACATGACTGTCAATCTCCCTCAGACTGCGGGTCCATGCAAGATCTCACCTTGTGGGGTCTCAATGATCCTAAGAAAGGTGAGAAATCAGCCCAGAAATACGTGGGAGGAGCTGGTCAATGACCTGAAAAGAGCTGGGACCGCTATTTCAAAGGTTACTGATGGTAATACACAAAGACGTCATGGTTTGAAATCATGCATGACACGGAAGGTTCCCCAGTTTAAACCAGCACATGCCAAGTCCCGTCTTAAGTTTGCTAATGATCATTTGGATGATCATTAACAAACTGGAGGAGTTATGGGAGAAAGTCATGTGGTCAGATGAGACCAACATAGAACTTTTTGGTCATAATTCCACTAAATGTGTTTGGAGGAAGAAGAATGATGAGTACCATGCCAAGAACACCATCATTACTGTGAAGCATGGGGGTGGCAGCATTATACTTTGGGGTTGTTTTTCTGCACATGGGATGGTGCGACTGCACTGTATTAAGCAGAGGATGATCGGGGCCATAGACTTGATTGCCAGATTTTGGGGAACAACCTCCTTCCCTCAGTTAGAGCATTGAAGATGGGTCGAGGCTGGGTTTTCTAACATGACGATGACCCGAATTAGAAATCCAGGATAATGTAGGAGTGGCTCTGGAAGAAGCATATCAAGGTTCTGGCATGGCCTAGCCATTCTCTAAACCCCATAGAGAATCTTTGAAGGGAGCTCAAACTCCGTGTTTCTTAGCGAAAGCCCAGAAACCTGACTGAACTAGGAATAGAAATAGAAATTCAAGATAGATGTTGTAAAGTGTTGTCGAAAGTAGGGAACGTTTTTCAGACTTATTTCTGTGTTCCCTGTAACTGTTCTTAAATTAAAGCATGAATTTTTTCTACAATNTTCTGATTTTTGTTTTTCTTTAGATATAGGAAGAAATGGAGCTCCATCTGCTGCGTCTCCCGCCCCTCCAACTCCTGGACCACCAAAAAAGAAACAAAAACGCAACCATTACAAAGACAGCCCCAACTCTAAGCATACGCCTTACCAAACCCCAAACAGAGCAAATCCTAACCACATCATCTTCAACGATGATGACTTTGATTCTACACCCAGAAGAAAGCCGGATAAATCACCCAAAAGTGGGAGCAGTGCAAAACCATGGAAGCCTAAAAGGCCTCTTCCTGCTACAAGAGACCCATTGCCATTAAGTAAACTAGTTGTTGATGAAGCAAGTGACTTTCCCAGAGGGGGAGGCCCTCAAGGAGACAAGGAGGGGAAAATGAAAAAGAAGAGCAAGTTCAGAAAAAAACAGGGGAACTTATTTATGTCAGAGGAGCAAAAAGACTGGAAACCAGGGCATGTTTACCGGACTGAGGAGGAGAGGAGTAGGGGCCCGAAACCAAAGAATCAGATGGGAGAGAAGAAAAAACAGAGAAAATTTCCCAACAAGACTCCTAAAAAACAAGCGGGCAAACCGATGTATGAAGAAGATAATCTGTTTCTCATTAAGCAGCGGAAACGCAGCAGATAGCAGGGGCTGCATCTGTCAGGATAATTAGGATTGTGGAATTTTAAGGCATCTGAAGTGAGAATGATGGTATTTATTGTGGTTTCTCATAAGCAGCATTTTAACACACCAGTGAGAAAGGCTGTAAGGAGCCGGATTACTGAACAGCTGAGTCCACTTAACCTTTTGCTTTCATCTTTCAAGCTCTCTGTGGTCAGACCAGAACATCCCATATTCACAGAGCTGAACATTATCAACAAACCATGCAATTAAAATGTTACTGTTAATTAGAATAATAATGATTCTGGTTGGCATCATCATTACTCTTCTCTTACTTCCCTGATCATCATAAGGAGGCCAAAATGCTCCATGTGCTTTGGCATCGAGTAAAAGCTGCTCGGTATACTACTGCCATTTAAAGTGTGAATGCAGGAAACCTGAAGTTTGATCAAATATCCAAAATTCGCCCCAAGCAGCATATTTACAGTGACAACTGAAATTAAATATACAGTGTTGCTTTATTCATTTAGGATACATTCTTAACTCTTATGCTAAGATCAAATTGTATGACTAATATTCTGTTTTCAATAAATTCTTGAAGCGTTAAGTTTTCACACTGGTTTCATTCAGAGCTGCCAAGTAGCAGATATCGTTTTAATTATTTCAAATTGCGTCTGAAATGGCTGCTTTAAATGATCAGCACAGTGTAATGCTTCTTTAGGTGCTTTGTGGAACCAGTTCTTGTTGTAATTGTCAAGAAATATGACTTTATTACTATAGCTAAGTTTAACATTAAAGTATTTCAAATGTTCTTTTTTTTAACTCTGTAAAATAAAATATGACTTTATTACTATAGCTAAGTTTAACATTAAAGTATTTCAAATGTTCTTTTTTTTAACTCTGTAAAATAAATGTAGATCCTCTAATCTGGACGAATATCTGTGTTTACCTTATTTTTTTTCTCTTTGGAGCTAATTAAAATACAGTTTGTTTTTCCTTTTTTAAATCATGTTTGGTAACCAGTTATTTTATCTCAATTTAAACCAAGCATTTAACTGGCAGTTTAATGGTTTATCCAAATAGATCGGACCCTACAGCTTCTGTGTGCTTACAGTGTGTCTCTGATGCTGAGCTACGGTTAGTCCAAAAATAAATAAAAAAAATCACCAACATCCCTCATGCTGTTACATGTGCCATTCTGACGTAGAAAATCTTTTTTTTGTGTGTATGTGTGCAGCTGTTAACATCTGTCTGTAAATGTTTGGAAACACACCCTGGGACAGGATTTTTTTTTAAAACGCATAAATATTAGCCACGTCGGACATTAGAAGTACCTATAAACCATGACAATATCATGCACTGATCAGTCATTTCAAAGTTTTTGAAAAAATGTTTGTAGTTAACTTAGAATGGTGCTTAATCTACATTAGCTGCTGGCTTTGATGGTAAACGCTGCTAGATGACACTGGGCATGCTGGGGATGTTTGAGTCCATCATGGATTTTTAAAAATGAGAATAAAACCATGGGATCAAGTAATGTTGTTCAGCATCTTCATTTTTTCCCTAAATCTCGACACATTTCAGTTTAAGGAGAAAAGTGTTATGTTTAGAAAGTTTAATGTTGTTCAGAAGTTTAATGTTCTTGTGATTATTATTTTTATTAATAATTTTTCAAGGGAAGCATCTTTTTATTGATCTAGCTGAAGGTTAAACAAGTAAAAGGATTATATTGCTGGTTAAATGATTGAATATCAACTTAGATTTTTTAGTGTTATTTTTAAGGAATAAGGGAAATCTATCAGCAGCAGATATGTATCGTTCTCCACTTGGTTCTATGCTTAGAACATGTTTTACCTTAAAACCTGATGGAAATCCATCTGTGAACCCAGATGTACTGCTTTCTGTGCTTCAACTCCTTTAACTTTTTTTTTTTCAGGGTTCATTAAAAAAAAAACAAGCACTAAAACAAATTTACTTCCAAAAGGCTTCATGTGAAAACCCTAAAGATCTGATTAAAAAATATCTTTATATACCTTTAATACTTTTAGATTTGCTGCAAACTTCTATGTATACTTAATAAGGATTCTGTGCAATGGATCAACACAGTCAGACATTAGCTAAAAAACAGAAAATATATTGATAAATGTTCCTAATATATATATTTTTTCACTAATAATCTCAGAAAGTGTGTCCCCCTTCTTCTCCACTACCAAATAAAATTTTGTACACTTATAGTTTCTATCAGAAGTTAAAGGATTGTTGTATAATTTTAAACGTAATCTAATTCTACAGATGATACAATACTGGTGGAGAAAAACATACTAGGTACCAAGGACCACTGCAGACAACGTCATAGAGAGAGATGTGAAGAGGTTTAAAGAAAATCATCCAAATTTACGGTACTCTGCTTGCTGATAAAAAAAATCTCCAGCTTTGAAGATCGCGCTGAACTTTGTTTAAACCATTCTTTAAAAAATAGCAAGTATGGCACAGCTGCCCGTCCCAGCTGACCGGGGACCACTGGGAGCTTTAATCAGAGAAGAAGCTAAGATTTCCGTGGTATTTGTTCATTCTTTACTGACCATAATGACCGTCAACTCAATCAGGCTAATAATAAATACCATATCCAAAATATGTTAGCATATATTCTAAATTAATAATTAAAATATTTGGGATGAAATACCGTCAAATCACACAGTTGGCACCACTGATATTAATGGTGAATTGATACATATGAATTAACAAAAATTAAGAAAAGTTGTCTATATAAGTATATATATATATATATATATATATATATATATATATACACATAAGATTCTGTGTGTGTAGATATATTTTTATGACCATAAATACTATCACTAACATGCTATACTGTATACATATTAGGCTGATAGATATATAATATATATCATAGATATAAGCACCAAATGTAGCAACCATACACTTTGATAAATGGGAGGCAATAATACGCTTGCAATCTTTCTACTCCTACAAAAAGATTTTTTTAGTTTAGGATTTTAACCTAATCATATATGTTTTGCTTTTAAATTTGCCAAACTTTGGATAATATGTCATTGTAACTTAAAAAGCTGATTTCTTCCAAATGATGTAAAAGTAGTGGTGACTTCAAATCATACGTTTGTCCCCATTATTTTTACCCAACCCTTTTTTTTGTTTCAGATACAGTAACAGTCTGTGTATCAAACCAGTTGCTACAAGAACCAACTGCTCTGCTCTCTAACAATTAGGCCAACCCATGGCAGCTCAATCCCTGATTACCGTAGCTGAACTCTAGACCAACTTAATTGGTTTATGGTTTTTTATAAAAAAGGCTGCATTGTAAAGAACATACAGTGCTATTTTTGGGTGGCAGCATGTATTTAGCCTCAATTTATATTCTTTAAATTGAAAATTAAAAGATTATAAATTATCTTACTCCGGAACATTGTTTTCCTGCATTTCACAACAAAAATATGAAAGTCAGATGAACTCAAACCTTTTGAAATAACAAACTACTTAAAGATATAAAGAACCAGCAAGTCACTTAATTAAAAAGACAATTGAACCATGTTGGATTTCTGAACTGATTTAAATCATTGTCATTGTCAAATCATAGTTTTTCATTTTTTCCAGTGAACTCCTTTGGAGCACATTTCGCATTCTATGCATAGAATGCAAAATGTCTATTAGCATTTAACATACAATCTGTACACTAAAGCCTCATGGATTTATGTAAATTTTTTGGATATAAAATATTTTTGTATACGTGACTTGTTAATAATTGATTTATGGTATAGGGGGGGGACATCTCTTTAGTGGATTTGGAAAATTAAAGCCTACTAAAAAGGGTTAGAACGCCTGTCCACGATGACTAAACATACAGGAGTAAAATAGGATGGTTAAGATTGAAGCATTTTTATGTGTCTGATGGGTCTAATAAAAGTCCTTTTCTCAAACAATATGTGTCAATTCTTGAAATTTGATTTTGAATAACGCTTTTTATTTAACCCTTTACCTAACAAGGCCCAAAGTGGCGATTTTGAGACATTTTGTAATAATGATTTTAGAATGGGAAATAAATGTCCCGTGTTTGAAAGATTTGGTTCTCTTACCCGTGAGGACTTTAACTTAATTTTTCAAAATCTGGTTATTGTCTAATGCACATTATAATAAATTGTCAACTGTTTAAACGTAGAAAAAAAATTGTTTTTTCAAAGTTTTAATTAAAATAAATCTTCAGATTCTCCATATTTTTTTTATAAATATATACACATGTTCTGAACAACCACTGTGAAGGACCAACTCTGCCATATTAAAAAAAAAAAACAGAAATAAATGCTTAATAAATAAATAAGCATACAATCTATTGCCCCCAAAAATACAATAAACAAATAAATGTAGGTAGAAATTAAATATTAATTATTACAAGGCGAATAAATAAAGAAGCTAATTAAAAGAGATTCATACATTTATGTCTCACTGTATAATTTAATTTCTACCTACATTTTTTAGTTTATTGTATTTCTGCGGGCAATTAATTGTATGCTTATTTATTTGAGCATTTATTTATTTATGTATTTATTTTTAAAAATGGCAGAGTTGGTGCACCATACAACCACCAGTAACTCTTTGTTCATAACTCTGGGTTTACCAAATACAGTGCAAAAGATAACCAATTATATTGTATACAAAAAAAAAGGGCAAAGATAAAAGAAATGCCTTGCAGATATCTTCAAGTAGTACATTTATATTGCACATGAACATTTGATTCATGAGTCGAAATAGTGTTACATGAATCTGAAAAACTGTAGAAAATAAATACATACATATGGTGAAATTACAACAAATTTTTTGCTTTAACACTTGAAATATAACTTCGAACATAAAAAAAATGCAAAAGGTAAGCAAAATATTTTTTTTTCATTGAAGTGAAGGTGTTTTTAATTGAAGATATATATTTTTTGATTGAAACTACCTTTTTTTTTTTTAAATAAAGACACAAAACTACCTTCATAGTCTTGCAGGTTCAACTGCAATCTAAAACAACCACGCCACACTTCTTAGATTGCCAACATTAAAAAAACAGTGCCACCTATTCTTCCTTCTCCATTTGTCATGTCCTATCAGATAAATTACATTTAGGTTCTTGCTTTCAACTTGGCAGGAAATGTCAAAACGTTTAACTACTGCGGGTAATGACTTTTCCCAGCGGCTCCTGAACGTCTCAAAGATACCGTCGACGCGCTACGTCATCTCTCCGCCTCACGTAATAACCCGTCAGGTGCCACAACATCCGCATCTGCATTTGTGTTGGGAAGCCCTGCGGTCTTGGCACTTTCGGCTCTCCGGGCTGCGTTGGACTGCTTGTTGACTTGGACCAAGAAGTGGGGAGAAAAGATGGAGGACGGTTTGAAACCAACCGGCGACACTAAGCTGGACCAGGCTGTCCGACAGTGGCTGCAGCATGACCGGGTGAGCTGACAGCTAGCCGCTTAGCTCCCTCTGCAGTGTAGGAGACAGAACCTGACGGGTGGAGTGGCTGACTCCGACTTTTCTACCACATCTGAATCAGATATGAACGGAGAAAATTTTTTTGGGCTTTTATTCTGAAATTTAGATGTGATTAGACGATTAATGAGTCAAAATGGTGACTTATCGACTTAAGATATTAAATTATACATAATTCATTTGAGTATTTTCCCGAATACACCAAAAATGGATAAGGTTAGTATTGGTGAGTAAATTAAAGAGAGAGGAGGTGTCAGAAGAAGAGTAAACTCAATTAGCATCACTCAGCTGAGAGGACAGAGAAGGTCTAACATCAGAGACATAAATATTAGAGATCAAATTAGTGATCTTATGGCTTTTTATGGGGAGTACAGTCCTACATAAGGTATGTACTATACCCTTTACAGTATTGCTCTTGTCTGACAGATTTGACCTAATTATTGTTATGTTTTTGTTGTTTTTGTTTGTTTTTCTCTCCGTCTGTTTTTCCATCTTCCTCGTTGTGATACTAATTGGCTGTTTATCTAAATTTAAAGTAAAAAAAAAAGTGATCTGTAAATAGATTTCTGAAGTTAAAAATAAGTTGCCTTTATCATCCAGAATAATTTTTCTTACCATAATCACAGCATTCTTTAGAGATTGGGACACTTGCCAACAAATAAATAAAAACAGTATAGTGGATAATTATGTGGCCTTTGTCTTAAAGAAATATTTAATTAGCCAATTAAATATTACATTGAGAGTTTGTTGGAGTTTTTGAGTATCTTCAAGTTAAAACTTACAGCCTGCTATGGATACTGACAGCTGAGTTATTTCCATGCATTCATCAGAAAAAGATTCACAAAACATTTTAGTTACACCTTATTTTTCTGAAAGCGTTTATTTTAAAGTTGCTGAATTCCACTGCATGTTCTGAAAAAAAAAAACCCAGAGCAGCATCCAAATAAAAGTATAAATAAACAAATATTTTAATGACTTTATGTAAATAAAGATTGTACATTTTTAACGTCTGTGATGCAGCTTAGAATAATAGTCTAAAGAAAAGTTCATGCATTTAATACAATGGATGTGATGGTGCATTCTGTTAATTTCTTTAGATAATTAGCTTCAATTTCACACACTGATCAGATTAACATCACAAAGAGGAGACTTAGTCATAGGATGTTCATGCAGCTACCAGCTGACCAGCACAGGAAACGTCCTTCTTGGCCCTAAAGAGACATGCGATGCCACCAATTAGAGCTCAGGGGCCTTAGATTCATTAGACTTTAGATAATTGTGTTAAGTTGTTCTTATTTAAAATACTTTTTATTTCTTTTGGTGCTTGTTGTGTATCTTTATTCTTTTTCAAAAGTTGCTTGTTTAAAGTTAAAAAAAAAAGTTAAACAATTTTTCTATTTAGTTATTTTCTCCAAGCTCATGTTAGGTTGATTTTGTACTAAAACGGATTTTGAATAGATAACCTTCATCCAGTCATGTTTTCATCAAATAGTCATTGTATTTGTCTTTAACCCAATCTTTGTGTTTATATGTCCCAGAACCCCAAAACGGTGTCCCTGGTGCAGGATATGGTGAAGGAAGGGGCAGTGGATGCCCTAAAGAAGTGTTTCTCCTCGAGGATGGAGTTTGGTACAGCAGGACTGAGAGCCGCCATGGGCCCCGGCATTTCCTGTATGAATGACCTCACCATCATCCAGACTACACAGGTTTGTTAATGGAATAGCTACTGTTAGACATTAAGCATTCCAGTCACATGAACAGTCACACATGCATCATGTTAAAGCCTGAAGCTCACAAGCCTCTGTTTTTCACCAGTGATTTTCATCCGTTGACCTGTAGAAGTGAAAGAAAATGTAGCAGTCATACAAAAATGGATATGAATATAAGATTGAATTATAATTACATCTGAATCAAATGGATTTGCAGCCAATTAATATTCTGGAGCATTTAGCCTCCTGTCATCTTGGCTCATGGGGAAACCCCATGTTAACCCAGTGTCATTAGGGCCTTTTTCTGGCCCAGAAGAAAGATCTGCTTAATTTAAAACAGACTTTAACATCGATCTTACATCAGGCTGGTCCTGACATACCAGCTTTCAGGCTGTCCTAAAGTCAATCAATTATTTTGATGTTTCAGGGTTTCTGTTGTTACCTGGAGCAGAGTTTTAGTAACCTTAAAGAGCGAGGCGTGGTGATCGGCTACGACGCTCGCTCTCACCCTCCCAGCGGGGGCAGCAGCAAGAGGTTCGCCAGCCTGGCTGCTGCAGTTTTCATCAGCCGGGGAGTGCCAGTCCACCTCTTCTCTGAGATCACCCCAACACCATTTGTGGTAGGTTCTTCAATGGCAGTGTTTTTTTTATTTACTTTTGTCAATCTTTAAATGTGTTTTATATATGATTATAAACTTGGTGAGAAAGAGAACATTCATCCTATAAAATATCTTTTAGAATTGAAAAGGTAATTTCTAAGTTGAGTTAAGCTTGCCTGCTGTTAAGGTTTTCAGAGGAGCTGGCTTTAACAGGACCAAAGCTCCAGGGCAAATTCCAGTCAAAAGGAGTCACTTAGTCCCTGGCGCACAGCAGGTTGCATAACACATGTTTCCCAGGTCATTGTGTTTAGAAAACTATCATTTACTCTATCTTCTCTCTGAATGAGTCTGTAGTGATATTGGACTGATTTAATGCACCTAAAACTAAAACATCATCCTGAGCCTTATTTATCTATAGCCTCTGAGCTCCTTGTTAGACTTTTTTTTTTAAAGCATTTTTCTATTGCTCTTTGCTCTAGCTTTGTTTTTTCAAGCAAGAGGAGTTTTAATGTGGTTTTAGTTAACTTTAAAGAACAAAAAGGAAAGCTAGACAAGTAGATCAGAAAGCTGTAAACAGAAAATTCCACCAGTTATGTTTTAAATGCTTTAAATGGTGTAAAATCAAAAATGGGTTAAGCTCTTTGGATGAAATTCATGTGTTGATTATATTTTGTAGAAATCTATCAGTAAGGTAGTTCAATCTTTTTTTTGTTTATTTATTTTTTTCTCCATTCTGCCAAAAGATCACAACTCATCAGTTAAAGATATTGGCAGTGTAATATACTTTTTTTTTTTTTAAGTCAGGAAAACCATTTGTTTTCTGTAAACATCAATAGACGGGTTCCAGGCACCACTTCAGCCACCTTGGTTTATTTTGTTTTGAAGATATCTATTCAGTTAGCCTGGTGTTTAAAAAAAAAAAAAAAGAAAAGAAAAACAGCCTAAGAGAAATTAAAGAAATATTATCGGGCTGATCTGTCTGGTCTTGATATAAGATCAATGTTACCTGCTGTCATCTGTTTGATATCCATCCTTTTTTCAGCCTTTCACCGTTTCCCACCTGGGTCTCTGCGCTGGCATCATGGTGACTGCTTCACATAACCCCAAGCAGGACAACGGCTACAAGGTCAGACACACGTTTTTACAATTGTCCTTTTGGTTTGCTTTTTTTGTCAGAGATGCACCAGTAGGTTACCTGAGATCACAATGATGTCTTAGACGATCTTAGATCAGTTTCTGATCTTTCTCAAAGGGATAAAGGAAGAAAAAAAATCATCTAAGTGGTAATAATCCTGTTCCTGATAGGTGTATTGGGAAAATGGTGCACAAATCATTTCTCCTCACGATGCTGGCATCTCCAAAGCTATTGAGGAGAACTTGGAGCCCTGGCCAGAGTCCTGGAACACAGAGGAGGCCCTGAAGACCACCTTGCTGAAAGACCCCTACCAGGATATTAGCACACAATACTTTAAAGCTATTCAGAAACACTGTCACCACAGGTAATGCAACATAAGCAGCATGTGGCGTTTAAAACCCTTTGCAGCGAGTTCACCAATGTTTTAACTATTCTCTTTGCAGAGAGATAAACAAGAAGTCGGAGGTGAAAATAGTGCACACATCTGTGCACGGCGTCGGTCACAAATTTGTGCAGTCAGCTTTCAAGGCTTTTGATCTTCACCCTCCGTATGCTGTTGAAGAGCAGAAGGATCCAGACCCAGAATTTCCCACCGTCAAATACCCCAATCCTGAGGAAGGAAAGGGGGTCCTGGTACACAGCTCTGTCTGCATATAAATGATCAAGTCCCTGCTGTATTGGTTTGTTCACTCTTTTACTTTTCTGGGTTGATTTGCAGACATTGTCGTTTGCCCTTGCAGAAAAGGAAGGAGCCTCTGTGGTGTTGGCCAATGACCCCGATGCTGATCGGTTAGCTATAGCTGAGAAGCAAGAAAGGTGGGTGTGATTGACGTTTATGAATTAAGAAAACAACACTCTCTCCAATAATGCAGACACCTTTGTCCTAATATCCCTAGTAAACATATGTAAAAGGACTTCAGATCATGTTATTTTGTTTTGCAATACCATTATCACTCTGTTTGCGATCCACATTGCATGCAGCAGCCACCACAACCTCCCAGACACAGTTCAGGGAAGTGGACTGTTTTTCCTGCCTGTAGATCTCACATTTCATGAAGGACCACAGGTTCTCGATGTGGTTCAGATCATGTGACCAAAATCCATCTGGCCCATCAAGACTCACTCTCATTTCAGACCAAAACACCGTGGAGAAATCAGTCTGCAGATATTTCTTGGCCCAATCTTAACGTGTTGTCTTGTGTGTCTTGTTCAAAGGTGGCCTTTTTTCAGCTTTCCTCACCTTGGCCAGGTCACTATTGAGCACCTTGTGCTTCTCGGCACTCCAGACATGTTGCAGCTCTGAAATATGGCACAACTGGTGGCTAATTGCTTCCTGGCAGATTCACGCTTGATCCTTCTCAATTCATGGGGAGTTATTTTGCGTCTTCTTTTTTCAACATGCTTCTTGCGCCCCTGTTGGCTATTTGCCATGAACCGCTTGATTGTGCGATGATCCCGCTTCACAATCTTGGCAATTTCCAAACTGCTGCACCCCTCTGAAAGACATCTAACAATTTTTGACTTTTCAGAGTCTATCAAATCTCTTTTCTGACCCATTTTGCCGAAGGAAAGGACGTTACATTATAATTAAGCACACTTTATATAGGGTGTTGATGTCATTAGGCCACACCCCTTCTCATTACAGAGATGCATACCACCTGATTTACTTAATTGGTAGTTGGCTTTCAAGCTTATACAGCTTGGAGTAGGACAATATGTATGAAAAGGATGATGTGGTCAAAATACTCATTTGCCTAATAATTCTGCACACAGTGTATGAATATGATGTGACACAGAGTTAATTTCGTTTAGCTACAGCTCATAATAACCAGGATGGTAAATGAAGGAAAACAAATCTTTATATTCATTTTTAGAGATGTTCAACAAAGAGTGGCTGTAACTGGAGCTCTGTTCTATGCTCAGAGTCGGCTAAAAGCTAAGGTTTGGTGAAACAAATGGTAAGAAAGTAGAAAATCACTTTATTGTGACTGTTTAGTAAGGTAGAGACCCCGTGATCCTGTGGGCTTGTTTCTCCCTGGGAACTTTGCTAAGACTGTATGATTTTATGAACCCACCAGAACTTTTCAGTAGAGATTTCAGTGCCATATGACAAGTGTTTGGGTCTTCAGTGGTTTGGAGACAAAAGGCTCACTGGACTCAAAATCACCCTCCTTCTATGACCATCTCAGTCTCTATTCCTAATTAGACGTTCTTAGAAGCAAATTGCAGCTTAGAAATGTAATTACAAGTAAAAGGACGTCAGTGCATGAGAGGTTACTAAAAATAAAATAACCTCTCATTTTCATTTGTAGATATACTAAATAGATCCAGTTCCAGTTTAAGGCTTTTGGAAAATCCTTAGACTGGAAAAAAAAAATCCACATCTGTAATTAAAGTTATGACAGAGATTTTTCTGAAGCATTTAGTAGCATGAATCATTCCAACAAGCTATGGATATCATTGAGATTTGAACTTTATTTATTTTCTCTAGTTTGTTGTGTAAGTAGCATTGTTTGCTATGTAAACATTTTTCTCAGTCCAGTTACTCTCCACCAAAGTGCTAGTTTATAGGGATTTTCTTTTATGGGTTTTACTTTTTCCTGCTACATGTAGGACTAGTGGCTCGTGAGTTGCTCCACTGGTTAGAACCTTTTTCCCTCATTGAGTCCAAATTGTTGTTTGTGCCAGATTTGCCTGCCTGCTTTTCCTTTGACCTTCCTGTGTTTTGTGTTTGCCTCAGTGGACAGTGGCGCGTGTTTAGTGGTAACGAACTGGGAGCCTTGCTCGGCTGGTGGCTCTTCCACTGCTGGAGGGAGCAGAACTCTGACTCTGGTGCATTGAAAAACCTCTACATGCTGGCCAGCACCGTGTCCTCCAAAATACTAAGAGCCATCGCTCTGAAAGAGGGCTTCCACTTTGAGGTAACACGTTCAAGCTTGTTGTGTTCCCATGTATTACATGGTACTTGTGTGTGGGTGTGGGTGTGTGTGTGGGTGGGTATTGCACCCTTTAAATGGTTAGAACCCTCCAGCAGAACCAAGCTCAGTGTGATCGACCTTGTGCCGTGGCTGACTGGGGATTTAAGGAGACAGAAGCAGACCTACAAAACAAGCATAGAAGTACTGATCTATAAATACTTTCTATGTTAGAAAAGGTAACATTAAACTGGCTCCATAGGTGGCTCTGTTTAAGGAAGAAATGGTTAAAAAGAAGAGCTCTTATCCAGTTTTATGTCGAAAGGGATAGAAGAAAGCACATGTAGTTAGTCACATTTAAAGCTGAGCCTATAGCTGTGGCTAACAGAGAAGCTGGACAAAGCACTGAAAAACGGCCCCAACTCTACCATCTATGATCAAAGTTGTTGATGGCAGCAGCACAGCTGATATTTCCATTATGGTGTCCCTGCCAAATGAGACCAGGTCACTATATAGGTTATATAAAAAAATAGTATAATTCTTATTTTTTAACTGAACTTTATTGATCGCACATTGGAGAAATTTACCTCTGCATTTAACCCATCCGCTTGGGGAGCAGTGGGCAGCCATCGTGCGGCGCCAGGGGAGCAGTGTGGGGTTAAGGGTCTTGCTCAGGGACTTGGACTGCAGGCTGGGGGGATTGAATCGGGTACTTGCAACCTTCTCACAGCACAGTCACACTGCACTAACATCTAGGCCAACACCTCCACTATATTATATTTAACAGATACTGCAGAATGGGATAGTAAACATAGAATGATGAAAAGTGGTCCCTATGTTCTCGTGCAGCCAGGGCTGGTTATACTCCCGCAGCAGTTTGTCGCAGTGAGCTTGTCGCAGATATTTTTGATCTATGCCAAATATTGAAGCATGGTCTGCACTATGTTATTCCACGCCACAACGCAAGAGGGACAATCAGGAACTAGCTGTGGGTCTAGATACGGCCGAGGCGGTGAGGAAGTGGGGGCAAGTTTGTGCGACAACGGAGGGACATGAGGGCGAAAAAGAGCGGGGATCCAGGTGGAAAAAGGGTCCCAGCGTTCTCGCTCTTCTAGCTGGGCCAACTTCACAAGTCGTTTTTCACAACAGCCGTCATACAAACAAAATAGCCAGTAAGGTACCAAACAGGAAATATGCATAGTGTAGAGCAGATGTAGATTTGACCAATTAGAGGCCTCCTGTCTCCGGTCACCTACAATATTGGAGAGTTGCAGCAGAGTGTCTGCAGCAAGGGTGGGGGCACATTTGCATTCACTGCGACACACGCAGATGCCCTGGTTTCTGAGTATAAATCACACTTAAGCCTATAGCAGCATAACTATAGAGATAGCTCAGGATAGCAGACAGGATGTCTGCCTACTAATAGTTGGTTCCACAGGACAGGAGCCTGATTACTAAAATATCTGCCTCCCGTTCTACTTTTAGAAATTCTAGGAACCACTAGTAAACCTGCAGATTGCGAGCAAAGTGCTCTTTAGGAACTTAAGAATTGATCAGATCCCCAGATATAAGATTTAGCTTAATTATGTAGGGTGAGAGGAGAATTGTAATTATTTTTTCTGGATTTACCTGGGAGCCGATTAAGGGAAGTCAACATACCCCGGGAGAAATATATGAAATATGCTATCCAAATTTGTGAAAGGCCAAGTCATTTTCATGTACTTGTGAAAATGAGTTATGACTGATGAAATTACAAAGAAATTTCTACAACTTAATTTGTTTATTTCTGGCATTTTGCAAAAGGGGTATCATTTTGGATAAATCAGATTTATTATCGATTAAGGAAATTTTTTATTGAATCTATGCAGTTTGTTGTAATTAAACATGTGGTTCACAGAAAAATGATTCCCATTTTTGGCAGGCTTTGCCATTAAAAATGTCAAGCCATGTTTTATGTGCTGTTTTTAAAGTCTTGTTTCTCTCAATGTTTGGACAGGAAACCCTGACAGGTTTTAAATGGATGGGGAACAGAGCCAAAGACCTCTTGGACCAAGGAAAGAGTGTTTTGTTTGCTTTTGAAGAGGCCATAGGTAGGCACACACTAACCAATGTTATCCCTTTGTCAAATCACACAGTCCCTTAGATGAAAAAGTCTGAAAAATGCTCTAGCTGACAGAAAGTGTCAGACTTCTTCCCTGCTTGCGACGATGTCTTTTGATTGTATGGGGTGCAGCTACATCAGTCATTATATCAACCTTTAACTGGGGTGGGCAACTAAAGCTTCTAAGTGGCATTTTGGTCAAAGTCTGTTGTAAAGTTTACTGGGAAATAAAAATGACACTTTATTTATAAGAAAGTTGTCATTTGCACATGAGCAGCAATCATTGGCACTTCATAGCTACAATACAAACATTTCCCCTTTTTTTCCCCCCAAGAACAAAAAGGAACAGTAAGAAGAAACAAATCATGCAGTTTCTGTTCCGTTCCATCATAAAGAAAAGAAAGAAATAGCTGCATTATGAATGTGTATAAATATTAATCATTACCAAACCAATCACTAAACATACCATATACATTAATATGCTGTCTTGTATATCTGTAAATGTAATTATTATATTTTCTGTTATAACATTCCAATATTTTCTTACAGTTTCTTAAATTTACAAAACTGTTACTCAACACTTTCCAATTCCAGGGTGTTCCATGGTAGACGAGAATATGGAAGCCGTTATTTAAGTAAAAATGAGCGTCTGTTTAATGAGCTTCCCGAAACAGGTCTGAATGCTAACACACGGCAATGTGAATAACAAGCAGAGGTGCTCATGTGACGGCGTAATGGTCATGTGACTGGACTGACGCACTGGTAGAAAAAAAAAAATATTGTTTATGATAAAATAGTTCTGTATATAATTGTCAATTTTAAGATACTCGGACATAATGTTGATATTATAAAAAATAAATATAATAAATCTTTCCATCTGGGTTATATGAGCGCCAGACATTGTTACAATAATTGTTCCCTATTAGCTGCCTTACCAAGTCACTGCTGGAGTTCTTGAGTCAACTATAACTGAAATGAAGGGCTCAGCCTTTCTTGCATCTTCAAATGGAGAATTCTCATTCCCTTTGGTGAGCCTAATGTTTGCGGGGAAAGCCTGAAACCCCTTTGTACGGGCTTCATGCTTCACCTTGTAGCCTGATTTTAGGTGCTTTGAGGTGGCCTCTCTGTAGTCCGCAGCAAATTGAGGTTGGATATTAGCTACTTCTGGAGAATTTTTCCTGGAACCTTTCAGGATTGATCTCTCCGTCGTCGTGCCAAGGATTTTCTTCACCTGCCCAAACTACATTTGGTTCAGTATCAGATGTGTTCCCAGCTGCTACTAGAGCATTGTTAACTGCAGACAGCTCTGTGTGCTTTAAAGTAGTTGTTAGTTTGAGTGTCACCAACTCCCTCACATAGATTCATCTTAAATAACAGACCTCATTATTGCTGTGTTTGATGCAAAAGGAAGACATTTCTTCTCTCTATTGTAAAATATCAGAATTGTAGTCAAACATGTCACTAGGTTCAGATAAAGTTTGTCAAACAAAGGGAGTGGGGCATAGTTGAAGGATTCCTCTTTAACTAGATTAAGATGCTGGAATTGGAACAGCGTGCCATTGTATACACGGTTATTAAAGGAAACAACAGCTGAGCTCTGCAGCTGGGAAATAGACTGTATATGTGTTTGTGTATTTCAGGCTACATGTGTTGTAACTCTGTATTGGACAAAGATGGAGTCAGCGCTGCAGCTATTGCAGGAGAGATGATTTCATACCTGGCCACCAAAAACAAAAGTCTCTCCCAACAGCTCACCACCATCTTTGAAGAGTGAGACCCTTAGATTCTGCATATCTAACTTTACATTTGCAGATCTTTGTTGTCATTGTAGACTAACTAACTAGACTCACTTTCTCCATGCGAAAATGGTCAGTTATGGCTACCACATCAGCAAGAACTCCTACTTCATCTGCCACGAACAGGAAGTCATCCGCAGTCTGTTTGAACGCCTGCGCAACTTCGGCGGCAAGAAGGACACGTACCCGTCGGAATGCGGGCGCTTCTCCATCTCCGCTGTTAGAGACCTGACCACCGGCTACGACAGCAACCAGCCCGACAACAAGGCTGTGAGAAAACCATTAGATCATAGACTCAGAGCTGAATAAACCTTTATCATGCCGTGAAGGGGGAAAATACTGCTGCCTCTACAATTATCGGCATCCCTGACAAAAATCTTCATAAAAGCCTTGATTGTCATGGAGACTCTGTGACCCCCAACATACAATGTTTCCTGCAGTTCTGTAACAATGAGCTGCTGAGTTTTTCCTCTTTTATACTTACTTTATAAGTTGAAAGCATTTTGCACAGATCAAATTTTTGTTTTGTTTATTCTTCTTTCCATTAAATAAATGCATTCAATTAAGGTTTAGATTCTTTTTAATTTGCCTTTTAAAGCATGGGCTTTGTTTTATGGATGTCTTCCAGGGTTAAAGGGTTTTTTGAGGAATGCCTTAGAGAGAAAAGAAGGTTTTCCTTACATGAATTTTGCTGCTTTATCACAGATTGACCATATAACAGTGAATTGAGGTTTTTTTCTTTTATAATTTTTCTTTTTTCAGCCCCTTAAATATTTCTCCCTGTTTTCTCTCAGATTCTTCCTACGTCCAGGTCCAGTCAGATGATCACCTTTACCTTTTCTAACGGCGGTGTGGCTACCATGAGGACCAGCGGCACAGAACCAAAGATCAAATACTACACTGAGCTCTGTGCTGCTCCTGGTAACAGGTAGGTCATTGAACACACCATTTCCTCAACTGTGACTTACTTTTATAGGTTTAATAAGATCACTATCAACCAGGATTATTTTTGAGTTTTTGATGTTGTTTTTTATTTTTATCGAGCTAATCGAAAATGTTATCTCTTTTTTTTTTCTTCACAACAAAAAAAAACACAACAAGCACAGCAAAAACATCTTACAACAGACAAAAGATCAGATAAAGAACAACCAACAACTTGGGAGAATAATTTACTCCGCAACTCATTGGTTTCAAATAATTATAGCATTTCATCCTTTTTCTCTCTGGTTCTTTTTTCAGTGATGTGACGCATCTAAAGAAGGAACTGGATGACTTGGTTGACGCCATCGTTGAGAACTTCTTTGAGCCAATAAAGAATAAGCTGCAGCCGAAACCAGAGTAGTTCTAACGGAAAATGGTGACTAGAGTAGAAATGTCTCTGACCAGCTTTTAAAATGTCTTAATTCTTCCTAAAGAGTTCCTTTGTTTTGCTCCAGCTTAATTGACTTTTCACTAGTTTGCTCCAGGGTGTTTAGAAGCCATAGTAGTAAAATTAGCAAAATTGTTTTGTTTTTTTTTTGTTTTTTATTTTGAGATCATTTGCAACATTCATGCAAAAATCTGACCCTAGTTAATTGAAATCGGAGTAGCTGTGGTTTTAAATTAAACTTCTAGCTAAACAATTCTATAAATCAATTGAAATCCCACTAGAGATCTTTTATCCACTATATAAATAATGATTTTACTATTTTATTCTAAAATACATAATCACCGCTCCACTCGCCCTGCAGATGTTTCCAGCAACATCACAGAAGGCATGAGGCCACTTATCAGGGATCTTTTGATTATTCAAAACATTTCTGTTTGTATTTTATTTAATTAGTTCATGTGGAAATAATCAGCTTTGATTTTCTTTCTAAAATTGTTTTATTTTTGGTAAATTGGACGTGTAAATCGCCAAAGTCATTCCTTTTATCTAGACTAAGTTTTTATTTAAACTTGGAAAGCTTTACCTTACCTGTGTTTGACAGGATGCATTCCCAGATACAATCTCCTTTAGCATGAGCTGCTGCTGCTGTGAAAAACTTCCCTCAAACTAAATGATGGGAACTGCTGTTTTGCTTTGAAAGTATGACACAGTACCGCTAACCATGGTAAGAATTTACCATTGGAATCTTTCTGCACTTATGTATTCAATGTAAATGTAGAAAATAATATTGCAGACTGACCATAGTGTCACCAAACTCTGTGACCGCCTTTGCCGTTATCAGAAAAATGAGACCAACTCAGTGGATAGTTCAGTCTACCTCGTTACACAGCGGTAAAGATGTTTTTTTTTATACATTATACAAATAAGTTTCAAAGCTTTTGTTTATGGTTAGTTTATAGTTAGTCATTTTCTAATAGAAGCTATCAGCATAGAATATAAAATCCCTTTATTGTCCCACAATGGGGAGATTCTGTTAGGATATGCGACTCCCTGTATTTTAGTCTCTTTTCACAGGTCAGTATTTTTTACATTTGTGTATGTTTTTTGGTGCAGTTTCCCAACAGCATTTTTGGAATAACAATATTTGATCGTCACACGGTTTGGTGTAACCCTGTGTCTTCAACCTTTTTTTGCAATAAAGGCAACTTTGTTGCTTCTGGCACCACCTGACATTTAAACCGGAGGTCTTCAATGTGGGGGGCGGTCAAAATATTCATTTCAAATTCTGTCAACTGTTTCACTGGCTGAAATCGTGTATCCAGCCCTCATCTCTCTATACAAATTGTGTTTCAGGTGCTTCCAGACAGTTTTTGTTTTTTAGCACCACCTTATTCTTAAACAACACCAGCTGTTTAATGGATGCAACCTGCTGTAGATTAAACATGGCTTTTGAATTGGTAACCACGCTGTGAGGGGCAGATGGTTATGAAAAATATTATTGGCCATCACTGCCGATTTTAGATAAAATTCAAGAAAGGCCAGGGTAGGGCCATTACTTTTTTTTTTTTTTCATAAGGACACATTAAAAAAATACATGGTAAAATAATGGTAAAGAAAATTCTAGAGGCAAAATATTGAAATTGGTTCCAAGGGAGAAAAAAAATCAGCTATGGCCTCTTCTGTTAACACATATCACCATAATACATTTATTTAGTATTACACTACAAAAACTGATCTATAAAAGGAACTTTTTCTTAAATAAATTGCATTCACCCTTAATTTGAGCAGTTAGTTATAATTATTATATATTTTTTAAATTTTAAAATAGATAAATATTATGTACTTAATGCAAGTTAATGGAGGGAATTTATTTTCCCTTATTTTACAAGCAAATCATCTTATTCTAGTACCAAATTATAAAACATTCCTGCTCAAATCAAGGGGACATTCACTTCAAGAACAATGTACCTAATTATATTTCAATTCTTGTAGCTTGTTTTTTTTTTTTTTTTTTTTTAATCCAGCGGCCAAGACCAGTTCTACTGGGGCACTGACTCCTATTTAGAAGCACACATGTTGGATTTGTATTGTTTGCTGCTTTTTAAGCATGTTGTGTTGCCAAATAAGTGTCATATGGTGCTACTGTATCCATGATGTGACTTTCGAAATATTATATTCTAAATAGCTTTCCATATTCCACCAACTGGCATTAAAATAACTTCGCCTCGTTCTTCAAACCGCCGCCAGGGGGAGACACTGTGCATTAATTCTTCTACACTCAACCCATTCCTTCATACTCAGTTATGTTTCAACTCAAAGGGATTCCTCACATCTTCTTGTTACTTTCCTGCATGAGTGAGACCTTCCTTCAGATATGCTGTATTTTTATTTTACACCTGCTTTTCTAAACATTGTGTCATTAAGAATTTATTTCCCCACACCAATAAAAACATTTTCCAACTACCCTGAATTCCTGTGTGATGAGACGTACAGCGAATGTTAATTAATTTACACCATCATCAGTGGGGTGTATTTGTGCAGAGGAGGGAGGTCGGATCGGCCCCTGTCTTCTATATTTAACTCGAGCTGCAAACAGCGAGAGCCGTGCGTGGAAAGGTCTCTCTCTCCTTCTGTGGAGTGGGTAAGAAGCGGGCTGCTTGTTTTCCTTCAGCCCTCCTTTCAAAGCGTGTCTGACAGAGAAGGAGGAAGTCACAGGTAAGATTGATCCAGGAAGATATCAGATGATGAGGCAGACATTAGATGCGCATTAATGCAGATCTTATAGAGCAGATGAAAAATGTAGGTTTTTACTTCCGCGTGATCTGGGCCAACTTAAGGATTTAAAATCAAACAAGGTCAACCATCATAAGGTGGGTAAGGAGCCGCTTTGCTCATGTTCTCCTGCACTTCTTCACATGATCGTTTTGTTTATATGCGTGGTGTAATCGGATGACCACCTGGCGATGGATGCATTTTGATTTAAGGCAGTTTATCAAATCCTTTCTGAAACCAGAGAGAATCTGACACAGAAAAGGTCGTCTATAAGTTTCACCGTACAGTCTTGTGTATTTGTCCTTGTGGCTGTAAAAGTCAAGCAACTTTTTTTTTTTTTTTTTACTTCTGGGCTGTTTAAATAAAACTAAACACTGGGTTCATGAGATTAGAACAGAATAGATTATGCCTTTATTGTCCCACAATGAGGAAACTGTGGATTAACTGCCTGCATTCATTATTTTATCGTTAAGAGACCAGAAACTAACAAATGAATTGTTGATATGAAATCCATTTCGGAACATTATGGGTTCTAAAAGACCCGTTTGCCTTTTAGTACTTTTAGATTTGTTGTGAATTTTCACTATATGTATGGAGGACCAACTCTGCCACATTTAAAGATAAATACAGAAATAATTACCTGCTCAATAAATAGATAAGCATACAATTAATTGCCCCAAAAATACAATAAACAAATAAATGTAGGTAGAAATTAAATTATACAGTGGGACATAAATGAATATATCTCTTTTAATTAGCTTCTTTATTTATTTGCCTTTATAATAATTGCCATATTTATTTATTATTCGTTATAATCTTCAACTTTATTACTTATTTTTGTAAGTATACATTTATGTGCATGTCATAATATTTTTGTCTGTTTTATTCTTTGTATTTTTTTTTATCCTATTTATTTCTTTGACACTATTTATTTCTGCCTGTCGTTTTTTTACATTTCTGTATGCAGAATGAGGAGAGGCTGTGTCTTAGAGGTACCTGGCGTAACTTTCTGTAGGACTGGTGTGGACATGTGACATATGAGGGGACAGTCCCCACCAATAATTTCTGTTTTTCCCCCTGTCTGCTGATTTACTTTAGCCACCAGTAACTGGGGTTGGGTGTTCAGAGCATTTTCAGTCCGTGTTATTTTCTCGCTCTCGAGTCCCACCACTGAAATATCATCGGATCTGTCACTTTGCGACATAATATTATTTGGGGTCATTATTCACTGTGTACGTAGTAGCTACATGGAGGAGGAGAGACACAGCAGTTTCTGCTTGATTTGGGGGATTTCTTACATTTGATTTCAATTTATTAGGCTGCTGGTAGGTGAAACTCTGCCCCACTCTTTAGGTGTCCTCTAGCTTTGGCCTGTTATTAATCAGCTTCTTCATTACTGCTGGAGAAAAGCATTCCCACAGCATGATACCTCCACCATCAGGGTTCACCATAACAGATTGTGCCCTCATATTGTTTACTGTGTAAATTAATGTTAAGCTGTTGTTATTTTGCCTTTAGATGCAGAAGGCCGCTCACACTGAGCCTGGTTCTGCTGGAGGTTTCTTTCTGTCAAGAGGGAGTTTTTCCTCTCCACTGTCGCTACAAGCATGCTTAGTGTGAGGGATTGCATTCGAGTCAATGAGTCGATGCAATCAGCTGGTTTTCCTTAGATAGAAAACTTTGAATTAATTTGACTGTATGATCTGGTGAACTGTAGAGTGCCTTGAGATGACGTGTTGTGAACTGGCGCTATATAAATAAACTGAATTGAACTTACTTGGATTGTAGAAAACTGCAAAAGAAAAAAAATCTCGTGGGTTTCTTCTTCTCACTCTAATGCAAAGTGTAGAATTTTGGAATGATTGACAAATAGTTTCCCTTTTCAAATGGCTGTCAGTTTTGGTAGACAACCAGGTTTTGTAAGTCCGAATTTATCTAACTCTTGATTTTCAGATGACAGATTAAAGCTTGAGGTGTTGATTTATGACCTAACACCTCTTTTGGCAGCTCGTTCAGTAACGTATCTACCAAGTCATTTTCCAGGTTTCAAATAATGTGTGATCACTGGACTCCTTTTTATTTATCATCCAAATACATGTGCATGCAAAAAATGTTTAGATTTGTTTTTACAGAAATTTCTAGTTTAACATAAAATAATGTGCAAAAAAAGCTTAATGGGTTCCAAGGCACTGTAAATAAACAATTTAATTCAATTAGGATCTAGAAAGATATGTAGAAGACAACTCTGCATTTGCTGCTTAGTAACGTTTCACTGATGTGTTGCAGGTAGAGGGGAGGAATACAGCTGCCAGAAACTATGGATGGACTTTACTTTGAAGTAAAACCGAAAGGAGGGGAAGCAAAGAGACCACAGAGCTCTGAGAAACCTCGTTATAATCTAACCTCAAACCATCACTCCTGTCCCTCCCTGTCCCGGCTCAACTCTGCGGCTCAGAGTCCTCAAAAAAAGGAGCAGGGTGCATCATGGAGGGGTCAGGTAGACGAGGAGGAGATACGATACCAGCTGACAATGATTGGTTTTAGGGTAGTCCACCGCCTGACCACCATGGCCATGCTGCCCTGGGTTGTGGCAGAAATCTGCAGGTCCACCAAGAAGGATGGAGGCTCTCAGAGAGGAAGTGGAGGAGGTCCTCTGCCATGCTATAATAAGACAGTGTTTCTGTGCGTGTCTGCATCCTGGGTGCGGTGTGTGTCTGTTCTGGCAGAGCGGCGTCTCTGGGACCCTCTGACACACATCGTGCTGTTTGAATGTCGCCCACATCAAGTGACCAAGTTGATTCACAACAGCCAGGAGCCCAGCATCTTCGCCTGCCTGGTGAGAGACTCGCTGAAGTGTGCCTGCTACGTCTTCCAGTGCCTGGACAGCAACAAGGTAGGCATCTGTCTTAACATGTGGAGATGTGTGCAAGGAATCATAACCTCATATATGCTCAAAATACACATAAAGGCTGGTCCTGCAGTTTGGTGCACATTGGCTGTAATAAAATACAAAAATAAATGTGTGACACGTGCTGAACTGCTCTACATTGACTTTGTTAGGAAGTCACATATTTAATAGACAGAGTTCCTCTGCATGTAATTTAACCTTAGTATACCTACATTTTTTGTAAAGGTGCATAAGTAAGCAAACTGGATCGCAAGGCTCAAAGAACACAGCAGACAGGCTAGAGGTAAAGTTTGCATGAAGCTCTCCTTAATTCATCATCTGAAAACAGCAAAAGTGTTTCATTTGTAAACCAACAGGCCGTTCAAGGAGAAAATGAATCAGAGAAGAGGGCTGTGGTAACTCTGGAGGATCTGCAGAGATCCGCAGCTCAGCTGGGAGAATTTTCCAACTGGAAAACTATTACTGATGCGCTCCTTAAATATGGAACTGTGGCGAGAAGAGACAGATATAGGGAGAACAGCACACATGGAGATGGAGCAGCTCTGCTCAGATGGGACAGAAACCTTTTGGTCATTATGCTACAGTATGGGGGATGCTTTTCTTATTTGGGACGACATTTGTTGCTGAAAATAAAACAGACATGAAAGAAAATCTTTTAGAGGCTCAAGAGATTGGGGCAGAAGTCCACCTTCCAGTGGAAAAATGAACCCAAATATAAAGCCAGAGCTACAAAGAAATGGTTTCGATAAAAACATATTTATGTGTAGCATCGGTCTAGTCAAAGTCCAAACATCCAGATCAGAATCAGTGGCACGACTTAAAAATATATATTAACAGGTCTTTATATTGTAAATTTTGCGCATTAAAAAAAAAAAAAAAAAAAGCGCAACGCTGGTGAAGACATCGCCCCCAAAAGACTTGGAGTAGTAATGCCAGCAAAAATAGTTTGACTCGATTAAGCAAAATACAGACTCCAAATAAAAACAACTCTAAAACTACTATCTTCAATCCACCTGTTTGTTTAAGTTCCATCAAAATACAATTAAGTTTTTGGCTGTGACTCTTGAAAGGCTCAAGGGGTACGAATACCTTTTTAAAACTCTTTAGATATATGAATTTTGATGAAATAGTTCTCAGAACTAGACGGTCCTTTTTCAGTTATTCCTTTGCACGTTATGACATTTATACTTTGCCTCAGATTTATTTCAGCAGCCTGATAGAAAATGGAACCATAGATTCAAAGACAGAGCTCAGGGTGAGGTTGGCTGAGAATCTGGTAATGATGAATGAGCCGAAGTTAGCGAGGAGATGCAAAAGTCGTGGCTGAAGAATAAAGGATCCACATGCAGGAAGCAGCAGGTGAAAAACAAGCACAGCTTAATTGATTTATTGGATCTAAAAGCACAAAGTGTCACAGTGGCAGGTAAACAAGAATTACCCATAAATGACAGTGATCTAAAATAGAAGGGATTGAAAACAGGTCCTGAGATGGATGCATTGGCCCTGATCAAGCAGAAAGGAGGAATGTACACAGAAGGGAACTAGAGGCAAAATAACAACAGCTTAATATTTAGCTGAAGAAATGCAGAGAATGCAGAGAATAATCAAACCAAGTCAATCTCCCACAACTCTTTCATTTTTCTTGACATGACCTTTGACCTAAAGCGATCCCTGTAGATGTTGTTGGTTCAGTTCTTTGTCTGTTTATGGTTAATGCCTCTCTCAGAGGTTGACAGGAGTCACAACACCTTTATACATAGCACCATGTTTAAATGTACTCACCTTTACATTATGTTCCGTCTCTGTAAAGGTGTCACAAATTATGACCTTAAAACTAATCTAATCTCTCTGAGCATCAAAGGGGGCTCTCCAGCTATTCCCCATGTTAGAATTATTTTAAGCATTTTCATAAATCAAAGGGAACTCTCCTGTCATAAGTAATAAACCCATCAACACATGCTCCGGCTATAAATGATGCAGCGTGAGAGAGATGCGGCATGTTGGTTGAAGATGGGTATTAACAGCAGGGTTCAGTGTGGCACGGACTATATCTGTTCTTTGTATTTATGGCAGAAAGCTGGCTGAGTGTTCAGAGGAACTGTGTTGGTATCTAATATGAAATCATTCTGCAGCCCGTCTATGCTGGGCTTTTATCCCTTTCATCAACACTGTGTGTTTGTACACTAACACAGTCTGCTGACCTCAAATCCGTTCACCTCTCCTCCACATGGCGTGAGTTTCCCAAAATGCAAAGCTGCAGCTGCCGTGGGAGTCGGGTCGGAGACATCCGATAGCGCCACCCCGGCTCAACATACCAAAGACAATGAGGGATATTACATGTGACGCTAAATGATGGCGCAAAGCAAAATGTCAGTATGACCTTAACCAATACGTCCCCCTTCGCTGCTCATATGAGTCAAGCGCAGATGTCATGTTCTGAGACAGGAGGGGTCACGTAACAAATACCTGCACGCTTAGCCTGCATGCACAGCCTCCATGTGCTGCGGAGTGTACTGTAAATACCACCAAGTGCACACTGTGGCAGAAATAAACAGACTTTGAAAGTCTTGGAGTGTTTTCTTGGCTGAGTGTGCTTCAAAAATCGCCCAGCCAGGATGTGAAACCATGTTACCATGGAGACCACTTCCTGTCATACTGTGTTTGTTGTAGAGTTTATTAGGTTTCAGAGTGCTCGTTGTTCCAGGCGTTCTCTCAGTCCTGTTAGAAATGTGAGGATGATGGTGGCGATGATGTCAGACTGACCACCTGTTGCTCCGGTTCTGTTAAAGCAGGCTTTAGCCAACACACCAAGGCAATAATAATCCAACAACTCGTCTTTGTTCTCTCATTTATAAAGCACTAAGAGGGTACATCTTCTCGAGGTTTTACTAATCAACATATGATACAAATAAGGACACACACACATGACTGAAGACCAAAACATTTACTGAGAGCACAACTATGACTGCTTTGAGTTCTTAACAGTAGGGTTTCTATGAGCAAAACTACCACAATTTACACAGTATTCAGACAAAACCAAACATGATCCAATTAATTTTATTGAAAAAGGAAAATAAATTCTGTTGAATTTTTTTAAAATATCGATTACTACCTTTGTATAATCATTTTATTATGAAATTCATTTGGATCGGATATCGGCAATCCCATCCAATGCAGGGAACTGTTATTTCATTCTTTTTCCTGTTAGTATACATTTTATAGTGGGTAAAGTGGAGGATTTTCACAAATTTTTGAAAAGACCCACCCTCTCCACTTCCCACAAAAATTCCACAAAAAATGCACATGCACAACTCTGTACCTGCTCCTGAAAGGGAGCGCCTATTAAACGTATGAAAGAGCATGCACAAGCCCATTTCTCCTCGTGCACGCCCTGTTTAAATATTGCTGTTTGCATCGCTCATACATGCTTACTTTGAAAAAGAAGATTTGCAATTTTTCCTCTATGTCAGACTCACCTCCAGTAAGTGAAAATGGGGATGAGCACATAGGACGGCCTTGCATAAATATATCACCAGAATAATTGACGATTAGGACCGCTTCACCCGGAAGGGCATCCTTGACTATACTTTTAATAAATAATATAAAGCATATTTATATTTGTGTTCATTTGTTAACTTTTCTTGTTAAGTCTAAAGCCTTTACTCACTTGGCAGATATACGGCTCATTCATTCAACTGCTGGATTCTAGATTGCTTTTTGTAATTTTCCGTGAAACAGAAATTGGGTTCGTTCGAGCCAATTATTTTTTTGTTTTGTTTATGTAGTCAAAACACATGTCATGTCAGGGGACTTTAAAGAGAGATTTTAATCAGATCATATGGATCAGATTGGATAAAAGTTTTCTATCTAAGGAAAACCTGCTGATTGCATCAAATCATTGACTTTGCAGAATTCTTTCTTCTCAGATGAGCATGTAGTGAGTAGATATTATCTTGCAGTATTGTTGACTCCATGGAAATCACTCACACAGTAACAGTAGAGAGGAACAACTCCTTTTTAACAGGAAGAAACCTCAAACAGAACCAGGCTCAAAGTAAGTGGCGTTCTGCTAAGGCCAACTGGGAGTTCAAAAAGATAGAAACAGACACACAAAAAGAACATAAAATCACTGATCCAAAATACTTCTCGATAGTAAAGAAATACAATAGTCTAGCTTGGAAAAAAATGTGTTGGTTAGTTTCTTAGCCTCACCTCAAGAGGATATTTATAATTTTTGCAATATTCCAAAGAAGGGAATTCTAGACACATCTTTGATACTGGATTTAAATGACAGATCCTGATAGAAAATAATAGTTTCTTTATTAATTGAGATCAATTTAATCCCATTCAATGAAGTGACAGATTAAAGACTCTGGTCCAAAGACCATAACTTCTGTTTTGTCTGCATTCAGGAGCAGAAAGTTAAGAGTCATCCAGGTTTTTATGTCTTTAAGACATTGTCTGTAATCTATGTAATGGGTTAGCTTCATCTGGATTTATAGACAGATATAGCTAGGTATCATCAGCATAACAGTGGAAATTAATCCCATGCGGTCTAATAATTCTACCTATTGAGAGCATATACTGTATATAGTGAAGAGAATTGGTCCTAGCACTGATCCCTGTGGTACTCCACAGGTAACCTTTGAGCATGAGGAAGATTTGTTATTAACATGAACAAACTGAAATATGAATGAAAATTTAAACCAGTCTAGTGCTGTTTCTTTAATTTCTACAAGTATTCAAGTCTTTCTAAAAGAATATTATTATCAAATGTATCAAATGCAGCACTGATGTCTAACAGGACAAGTACAGATACAAGTCCATTATCTGAGGCCATGAGAATATCATTAGTGAATTTCACCAGAGCTGTTTCAGTGCTATGATGAGCTCTAAAGCCAGACTGAAACTCTTCAAAAAGTTCATTATGGTGTAAGTGTTCATGCACTTCTTTGGCAACTATTTCCTTAAGAATTTTAGATAAG